CACGAGACGCTCAAGGGCTACTGCAAGCAGCTGGTCGCGAAAGGCTTTCCAGTCGACAAGGTGAAGTTCTTCCCGTGCTCGAAGAATTTCAGATATGGAAACGACTCGACCGGCGAGGCGACCGTGCGCGCAGTTGTTCCATCATTCCCTGACTTCAAGTTTGCGGAGATTCTCACCTACGTTATCCCAGGTAACACGCCTTTCTTGTTCGCCAGGCCCGTGATGGAGGAGCTCGGTATGGTCGTGGACTTCAAGAACAAGGGGGCATGCTGGGACGGAGATGATAAATGGTTTCAGCTACGCCAGCAGCCGCAGCGCGGACACTTCATCATCGACATGTTGGAGAGCTACGACAGTTGCATGAAGGATCGCGCCGACCAGACCCTGCTGCCGCACAATATGTTGGACCACGTTCGAGCGCGGCACCCGATTAGCCCCTGCGCGTTTCTCGGCGACGAGGTGCTGGCGCACGAGCAGTCGGTAGACTTTATCGGCACGATGGTCGAGATAAATAACAAGGTCGACGCGACAGAGGCTAACAACTATATCGCAAAGGACCTCAACGTGAAGCAGTTGCGCAAGTGCCAGGAGTCCGTAGATATGGCCACCCAGGAGCTGAAGCAGGACCTGCGCAAGGCGAGGGGCATCCAGATGGCCAAGCGCAAGATCTGGGAGGTCTACGGCGGCAATCCGGAGTTGACGAAGGAGCTGAGGAGGCGCGGACATCAGGCAAAGACGTTCGGAGTGCACAACGGCTGGGACTTCAGCAAGACCGCTACGCAGAAGAAGTTTCTCGACCTGGTCGACGAGGAGCAGCCGGGCGATATCTGGCTGAGCCCCGAGTGCAAGTTCTGGGCGCTGATGCAGGAGCGAGGCTGCAAGACGGACGAGGACAAGCAGAAGTTGAAGCAGCGGCGCTCGGACAATCACCGGACGCACCTGACGTTCTGCAAGCAGATCTACCTCAAGCAGTGGCAGGCTGGACGAGACGCACACCTGGAGCAACCAGCGACGGCACGCAGCTGGAGGACGAAAGCGCTGTACGAGTTGCCTGGACACCATGTGCTTTTCGACCAGTGCATGACGGGATTGGAGATTCCAGGAGAAGGCTTGGCTCGCAAAAGGACTGGAGTCCGCACGACACGACGAGGCATGGCAGAAGGACTCTACGAGTACCAGTGCGACAAGCAGCACGAGCACCTTCACCTGGAGGGCAATATTCCAGGCACCAACCTGCACCGCACGAGTTTCGCCGAGAACTACGGGCCCCTGCTGGCGCAGATCCTCAGCGACCTGCTGGAGCGGCCCCCGACTCAGGACTCAGACATCTTGGTGCTGGGCCTCGAGGAAGGCGAGGGCGCGGTGGAGTATATCTACCGCGCGACGGTGGACAGCAGCAGCAACGACCCGAAGGAGACGTACCAGAACCGGCTGCTGAGGAGCGAGTTCGGCCAGAACGTGTTCAGGTATGTGGGGCGCCTCCACAAGAACCTGGGCCACCCCAGCACGGAGGTTTTCGTGCGAATGCTGACGGCGGCGGAGGCGAGAGAGGAAGTGATAGCATGTGCGAGGCGCTACTCGCGCGCGATCTGTGCGGAGCGCAAGAAGGCTTCGCGGCCACCGAAGTCAGCACCACCCTCCTGGAAGACGTTCAACCAAGCGATCTACCTGGACTTCTTCGAGTTCAAGTTGCGCTCGGGCTCGGCGAAGGGCGCGCACCTGCTGGACGGAGCCAGCCGTTTCCAGAAGTGCCGAATCGTGACGCGCGAGACCTCATTCGAGGCAATCAAGTCCATCGAGAAGGCGTGGATCAAGCACTACGGGACTCCGACGAGGCTCGTGATGGACGAGTGCGGCGCGGCGTGCAGTCAGGAGATGCTCGACTGGGCCAGCAACCAGAACATCCGGATGCAGGTTGCCCCGGGCGAGGCTCACCACGTCTTGGGGCCAGTCGAGCGCGCTCATCAGGTGACGCGCGAGACGCTGGAGCCCTGGTTCGAGGAGACCGGCCTGGAGCGCACCATCGAGATGTTGAAGGCGGCGTTGGACTACGTTCCCAATCAGATCAACAGGATGATGCACCACAAGGGCTTCAGTCCGGCGCAGGGGGTTCTGGGCTACAACCCTGAGCTCAATGACTCCCTGTCCGCAGACACGCTGTCCGTGCCAGCGGCGGAGGCCTACCTGGAGGAGGAGACGTTCCAAGAGGCGACGCAGAGGCGGGCGGCAGCGGCGACGGCATTCAAAAAGGCGGACTCGACGGAGCGGCTGCGCAGGGCCTTCCTGCGCAAGAGGCGTGACACACACGAGGCGGTGAGCGCGGGCGACGAGTGCTACTACTGGCGCGACCGTGGAGCTAGTCGGCTTCAGAAGTCACGCTGGAGAGGGCCGCCAACTGTGGCGCTACGCGAAGACGCGGAGAACGGCCAGCCCAAAGTCTACTGGGTCACGCACGGCGGGACCTTACTGAGGTGCAGCCCGGACCAGATCAGACCCACTGTGGAGCGGATCGGCGAGCCTAAACGACCAGCAAACTCACAGGCAGCGCAGGCCACTCTACAAGGACTACGACGCGGAGGTATCGTGCAGTTCTTCGATATCAGTCAGCTGCCCGGACCCGCCGAGGAGGACCGAGCGGACGAGCCGATGGAGAAGGACGAGCCAGCTCCTGCAGCTGGAGGCGCACCGACGATGGAGCAGGCCATGGCAGGTCAGCTCAGGCAGGTCTCTGCCCAGGGGTCTGCCCAGGGTTCCGAGCCGCAGGCCGAGCCGAGGTCAGCGAGCAACGAGGGCCCGACACCGACGGCGGACAACGCTGCGATACCCGATCCAGACGATGTGGATCTACAGCCACAGCCAGCACAGCCAGCAGGGCGTTCGCCCGGCGCCCTCTCGGAGCCCACGGGGCGAACAGCACCCGCACCGACGACGACAGTGACCGACTCGGCGGCGAGGTTCAGGGAGATGCGGAGGAGCATGGACGCCTCGGAGATGGCGCCGATGCGGACGTTCGCAGCTCATCGCGACCGACAAAATAACAGATCAGACCCTACGACAAGGTGGAGTTCTCAGAGGACGCGGCGTTCCTGAACCTGGACGCGCTGCCCAAGGGCTGGAGCTACAGCGTGCAGGAGCAGGCATTCTACCTGGACTACGAGGATGGCTTCGTGGCTGGCGAGCTGAGCGAGAAGAACATGAACGCTGAGGACAAAGCCAAGTTCGCAGAGGCGAAGCGCGCGGAGCTGCAGAGCTTCTTTGACAACCAGGTCTGGGAGCAGGACAAGAACGAGGTGAAGGACCCCAACAAGGTGCTGCGTGCGCGATTCCTGCTCAAGTGGTCGAAGAACGCCGACGGAAGCTACCGGGCCAAGGCGCGGTTGGTTATCCAAGGGTTTCGAGATCCAGACGCGGTTGCATGGAAGTTGGCCAAATCCTCGCCGACGATGACGAGACTGAGCAGAACCTTCATCGTGATGTTCGGCCGCATTCACGGCTGGATCCTGTTCACCGCGGACGTCAGCACTGCGCTCTTGCAGGGCAAGCGCTCGGACCGCGGGATCTCCGTGCTGCTACCGGCGGAGGCGTGCAGGATGCTCGGCTACCAGCCGGGTACGCGGATGAAGTTGCTCAAGAGTATGTGCGACCTGAGCGACGCGCCGAGGCTCTGGTGGGAAGAAGCTACCGACCGCATGATTGCGCGTGGCTTCGTGGTTCACCCGCTACCGCCTGGACGCGACCAACTCGAGGGTATTCGACGGCGCGATCGGACTGCACGTTGACGACATGCTCGGCGGCGGCAGCAACCAGGAGGGCCAGGCATGCTTTTCGGCGCGCGTGAAGGAGCTCAAGAAGGTCTTCAACTTTAGGACGTGGGGGGGGACACCGAGAAGGGCACCCTGAACGTGGCAGGCGACGCTTCGATGGATTTCTGTGGAAACCAGCTCACCAAGACAATGGACGGCGATTATCAGTGAGCTGTGGAGCCTACATCAAGTCGCTCAAGCCAATCACCGTGACCAAGAACCGAGCGAGCGACCCGAAGTTGGCTATCACCGAGGGCGAGCGTCGACAGCTACGCGGACTGATGGGAAGCCTGGCGTGGCCCAGCAACCAGGCAGCGCCGCACTTGCAGTGCAGCGTCAGCCTGGGACAAGGCACGATCAACGAGGGCTCTACCGTGCAGGACCTGGTGGAGGCCAACAAGACGAAAAGGTTTGCTGAGGCCAACAGCGACGTGTGCCAGGCGTTTCCCAATATATGCGACGACCCGGGCGAGGTAACATTCATTTGCATGACGGACGCGGCGTGGGCAGTTCGACGTGATGGAAGCTCGCAGGGAGGCTACCTCATCCTAGCGACGCACAGGCGCGTGCTGAGCGGCGACACCGTCAAGTACGTGATCGTCGACTGGCGCTCGTGGAAGCTACCGAGGGTGAGCAGATCCTCATTGGCGAGCGAGGCTCAAGCTGCGGCCGGAGGCGTGGACGCGCTCGAGTATGTGAAGGTGCACTACAGCCTGATGCTCGACCCGACTCGGGATCCGAGGTTGAACGGCACCATGACGGTGCTGGGCAAGAGTGCGCTCGTGGTGGACGCGAAGGCTCTGTACGACGCGGCCCAGAAGCCCCACGTGCACAACTTCGACGACAAGCGGACGGGCATCGAGGTGCAGGTGCTGAAGGAGCGCATGACAGCGAGCGCGACGGGCTGGTACTGGGTCAGCTCTGAGCGCCAGTTCGCAGACGGCTTCACCAAGCTGGCAGCGCGACAACTACTGGCCGATCGACTGAGGACGGGTACGATCAGCCTGAAGTTCGACGAGAAGTTTCAGGCCGCTAAGAAGAAGACGGCCAAGGACCGACAGGAGGAGGCCAAGCGTTTTGCCACATCCAGACCGAAGATGAGTACCAAGGACGTGGCGGCGATGGCATCTCTGACGGGGACAGCAGCCAGCCAGGTGGATACCTACAAGGACAAGATCGAGACGGCCCTGGTGGAGTTCGAGTGGACCGACAGCCCGAAGATGTGATCAGCATACCGCTCAGCACACTCGTGAAGGGTTTCTTCAGCATGATGATGATGATGATCGCGTTACTGGGTTTGGTGTGCTACGCGATTCTCAAGGCTGCAGGGACGGAGAAGCCGGTCCCGGCTCTTCCAGAGCCAGAGCCTGAGAAGGAGCGTGTACAGACCAAGGCCCCGAAGGAGAAGAAGGTGAAGCTGAGTTCCATCAAGTGGGACGTCGGTTGCCAGGGCCCGGCCACCTACACGAGCATCGGACGACCCGACGGACAATACGGACAGTACAAACATGTGACGAATGGGTTTTGCCGAGGCTGGGAGATCACACGTGAGTTGCACGCGGTGCAGCAGAAGCCGCACGCTGAGTGACGGTGCCCCGGCAAATCTTGATTTGCATCCTGTTCCAGTCTCGTGCTTTTCTCTATCCACACTCTCTCAATGAAGCTATTTCCCAGGCAGAGGTATGCGACAACGAAGTTTGGCGCAGTTTCTCTCGAGCGAGGCCGACATGATGTCCGGCTGCTAGTTGCTGCGAAGGTTTTCATGTGAGAAAGGCGAGGGTTTAACAAGTTCGCATCCCCTTTCTCACCAGTGTGAACTGTACTCCATACAATGCGTTTTCAGAGGTGTTTCTGACAAACATGTTAGAACAACATCCCTCCCCCCAGCATGTAGCAGCAGGGTGTTCGCCCGGCGCCCTCTCGGAGCCCACGGGGCGAACACGAGCAGCAGTGTGTAAAGCAGGCATGGCAGTTAGCAGCAAACACCGTTGCCGTTTGAGCTCGAGAGGCCTCTCGACTGACCAAAATACTATCATCACTCCCCTCGTTTCCAGAGCGATAGCGAGTACGAGTGCGAGAACGATCTGGCAGTGATACGAGATCGGATTTCGATACCGAGTTCGACGACTTCGAGAGCGTCGAGCAATTCACAGGAGGAGGAGAAGGACGAGGCGGAGGAGGAGGAGGAGGAGAGGAACAGGACGTGTAGAGCAGGAGGAGGAAGCGGAGGCGAAGGAGGAGGAGGAGGAGGAGAAGGAGGAGGAAGAGGAGGTGTAGTGGAGAAGGAAAAGGAGGAGAGGCGGAGGAGGATGAGGACGATGAGGAGGAGGAGGGGGATCAGGAGGAGAAGGAGGAGGTGTAGAGGAGGAGGAAGAGGAGCAGGAAGAGGAGGAGGAGGAGGAGGTTTTAGAGGAGAAGGAAGAGGAGGAGGAGGAGGAGGAGGAGGATAAGGAGGAGGAGGAGGAGGAGGAGGAGGAGGAGGAGGAGGAAAAGCAATGGGTGTAGGGGGGGCGGAGTAGGACCAGGGGTCGTTCCCGAGGGGGCGCCAGGCGGGACGGAGCCAGCGCGAGCTTCAGGCTGGCCCTGCCACCTGCGGACGCGCACGTGGGGCGCGCGTCGGGCGCGCGGAGACGGGCAGCTGGGGAGCTCGCCTGGCCGGCGCCGAGCATGGCTCGTTTGCATGGGCGCGGGGGCAGCAAAGGTTACAACTCGCGAGGGTAGCAAAAATAGTGCTAAAAAATAGTCTGGTCACGACTTCTAGACTGTTTTGGACAATATGTGCGTATTGGTTGAGTTGTTTTTTGAACTTCCGCCTGTGGAAGGACATGATTGACCGAGTGCTAAGGGAATGTGGGGCTTCATCAGTGGATGCCAATGTTCGCAGGAGAACTGCATAAGCATAAGCTTACTGAGAAACCGCTCGCCGCAGGCTCTGTTTTTTCTTTTGTGAAATTTATATAACGAGCCCGCCGCAGGCGTGTAGCGCGGGTGAGTCGCGGAGTTGGTCGCGGGGTGTATCGTGGGCGGATCGCGGGCGAAGACGTCGGCAGCAACGCAATAACAGCAACGCAACAACGCAACAACGCAACAACAAACGGCACGGACGAACTCGACTTCAGCTACGCGCACAGGGACAATGACTGACCGTTCGGCCCCCTCACTCTGACAAGTGCCTCGAATGCCTTAGGAGGGTTGGATGCTCAGCGGCCGAGGCCACTGAGCCCAGACCATTCCGCCCCCCCCCCCCGAAAACCATTTGTGAGATTTGTAACCCGCTGATATTCTCGGGTCGGCCAAATACGGCCCACATTGGCATCCACTGACAACCCCCCTATCCCCTTAGCAAACCGGCGCCCATCCAAGCGGGGGCTCTGCCAGGCTTCCCCCCCAGGCACCCTCAGACCCCCTCGCGTCGGGGAAAAAAACGCGACTGGACTTCCACTATTGTCGGCCCCTGGGGGCCCTTACCGGGCCTCGAGCCCGTCAAACAACGACTCAGGATAAAAAGTTGTCCCCAGGAGAAGGTGCAGACCTCAGGGGTTCACACCATCATACAATCACGACTTTGGGGTTCTGGGTCATCCGTCCCGCATCCCTTTTCGTTATCACCCCCGCCCTCAGAAAAGGGACAATGTCCTGATACCGCTCGCCGTCCCTGCGACGCCACGATTGGAACTGCTTGGGATTCCTAGTCAGAACGCACCCATGGAGAGGTCCTGGTATCGGTACCCGTTTGGCCCCCACGCCCTTCTCATCCTCCCCCGGCCCAGCGATCGAGCACGCTTGAAAGGCTGCCTGGGGAGTTTGCGAGCTCGAAGACAGGAACTTCGCAGGAGCCCAAGAGGCTCTGCGAAGGAGCTCAGCCACGCGCAGAGGGGGTTGGGGGGAGGGGGGAGGGCTTCTTAGAAGCACCCCTGCTTCTTAGAAGGCGCGGGCCGTATCTGTAGATGTAAGGCCGGCGCCTTCTAAGAAGCAGCCTCCTTCTAAGAAGCCCTCCCCCCTCCCTCCACCCCCTTGTGTGCGCCGCCAAGGAGCTGCGAGCAGGCTTGTAGGAAAGCGTCTCCGGGGCACGCCTCGAACTCGAGGAGGCCGCTGCGAGGATGCCTGGCCAGGCCTGTCGGGCGGGCAAGAGGAGCCTGTGCTGGTGCGGGAGCATGTCGGGTCGGGGGCGTCGGTGTTTGGCCTGAAGTGTGCCCGCGTCGTAGGGTGTGCCTCGGCCCCTCGGGCGTGGCCTCGCCGTTCAAACCGTCCTCCTTCCCCCCTCCTCGTCCTACTCCCGTCCATGTGTCGTCGCGCCGTATGTTCCGACGCGCGTCCTTACGTCCCAGGGAGGCCGCCGTGGCGACCAGGTCAAACTCCGCCTTGGGTTTGCAGCGGGGCAGGCGTCGTCCACCTGGGCGCGGGACGCAGGGTTTTGCCGTGGGTCTGCCGCGGTGTCGGCGTCGTCCATATAGGCGCGTCGAGAACAAATGGCGCGGGTACATGTGCAGTTGTTCTCTTGACTTTTGCCTTCCTCTGTGCTCCTCCTCCACGTTCGTTGTCGCCCTGCGTCCTCGTCCCCCTCGTTGTTCACCTGGGCGATCTCGACCGAGTGGCCAAGTCCCGCGCCATGCGCCGTCGGAGGGATCGTGGCACGACGTCTTCATCTTGGGTCTTGTCCTCGCCTTCGTCCCCATCCGTCCTCCCTCCTCGTCCTCGGCCTCCCAGCTTGTCTTGCTTGTTTTAAGTTGGCCATGTCTTTCTACAGGAGGAATATTCAGAAATATTCAAAAATAGTCCGGGTATTGTTTTGTATTTTTCATTGTTTGGTAAGTATTCGTTTTTCTTACAAAATAATGCCTGTCGGAGGACATGCCCGACCTAATGCTTGTCATCGCGTGCGCCCTGTCACCCTCCTTGCCTCCTCCATAGCCAGCTCTGGCTCTGGTGTTCCGGAAGAGCGAGCCGTTCTACATACACAGCATAGCGAACTTGCCAATGCGCACCTCTGTGGAGGTCCCCCGCATAATGATTGAATGCGCGCGTGCCCGCCATTCGTCCTTCTTCATCTCCGCTCGCCTGCCCCTCCTCATCCTGCTTTTACAGTCGGGGCCCTGAAGAAGGAACCCTTTTCGTTGGGGAGGGGCTCCGTGTTCCTTAGGTGTTTCACAGCTTGCCTCAGGCTTTCCTTCTGTCTTCGACGGGAAATCGACGGTTAACGTATGGAAAAAAGGGGCCTCGTTCCCTATTTAGGGTTCCTTAGGTCAACGCCACGACTGTAGTCTTGTGGCAGCCTCCAGAGGAGTGGCACCGCCGCCAAGTTGTCGAGCAAGGGGAGCGTGCGCAGGCGGGCGACGAGCTTTCTCCGAGATTCAACAGCAGGAGAGATGGAGGTCTTGTCAAGGGGATCGTCTCGGGCACAGGTCCAGTGAGGTGGCAATGCCGACTAATATATGAAGGAGATGGTAATGCGTATGCGACGCCTAGATCTGTACGAGCACTTGTGTCTCTACCATGTGGCGCGCGTCCGGAAGTTCCTGCTGATTTCACTGACACATGATTCCACTTTCTGTATTTGCGCGTCAGAACACTTCTTGAATCTTGCGAGTGGGTTCCGTAGAAGCGACGCCTGCGGAAAAGGGAGGCTCATGTTCAAATGTGTGCGGATTCGTGCGCCAGTGCACGGATGATTAATGAGCGCGAAGTTGCCTCATTGGGTGTCTATCGCCCTGGCACTGAGGCAGAACGAGAGCGACGTGCTTATCCGCCGTCGCAGTTACGTCCTGTGCACATTGCGACCACGGTGTGCAATTGCTCTTTTCAGCCCAGCTTCTCGGATTTCACGAGTCGCCTATTCCCAGGAGTGTCATATCGATTCGCGACGAGTCATTGGTGCCCGCCGCATGAGCTGCATCCGGAGAAGGAGGAGGAGGAGGAGGAGGAGGAGGAGGATGGCAGGAGGCGGATGTTGACTAGAAGTCCTGGTTCCGTAGCCAGGCGCAGGCGCCAGGCGTCCGTAGCAGGCGGCGCGGGTCCCACCGAGCCGCCGCGCACGCGTCTCCCCCGGGCGAGCTTCTCGGCTTAAGTCGGGCCTGTCCCTCTACAGGAGGAATTTAGAAAATAGTTCAAGAATAGCCTCGGATGATTTTGATTATTTGGGGGCACGTGTTGACTATTGTTAATTCTTCGCCCAAAATTCCCCTGTAGGAGGTCACGCCCGACCTAATTTTCGGCCCTGAGAGGTGGTTCGCCAGCAAGTTCCCTAAGTGGCCGTACCCGTTCCTCTCGGACGCCGAGCTGGACGCGCTAGCGCAGCGCCCCGCGCGCAGGATATCCCCCCCGCGGCTGCGGGACTCGCCTCGCTCTCTTCCTTGCGTCGGAGAGAGGCCAGAAGGAGGCGAGCCAAGATGCATCTCTTATGTCGCATCGTCGGGGGGCCTCGCCTGTCCCCAAAATTTGTGTCTTTTCTTGTGCCCGTCGCGGGCTCGATGCGGCCTAGACGCGGATTTGGCGTGTATTCATCGCGGATTCGACACGGATTCGGCACGGATCCGACGAGGCCGACATGGATTCGACACGGATTCGACGCGGATAAGGCCGCGACGGGACAGACAAGGTTCATTGAGGATGCAACAGAACATCTCCTGGGTGGTTAAGCGTAGCATTTGCGCTGGTATATTAGAGGAGGAAATGGTACCCATACTTTTACCCCTCTCCCGTTCTCCCCTTTCTGGGCCTCCTGGGAGGCCCTCGTCGCCACCGCTGGATTCACCTCGGAATGCTAATCAGAACGCACCCCGGGAGAGGTCCGGGGGGTAGCGGTATGGGTACCATTTGGTTTCCCTACCATGCCCGTGGTCGAAATCCAGTATCTTCCATTAGATTCCGGTTCAGCCGGGCGCATTCCATTTTAGTATTGTTTTTGATCCAGTTGCTTGCGGCAAATTTCGCATTGTGCCCGAACAACAGCGTAGGAAGAATGAGTTCGAATTCTTAACGCTTCGCGTGTCCCCACCAGCCCATCCAGGAGTGACGCCCGGCGGAGCTGCCCTTTCAGGGGAAAGGGCATACTTTAGAGAGCTCGGGGAGCCTGCGTGGGCCAGATGCTTCTTGCGATGCTTCTTGGGCTCTCTTGGAGGTCTCTTGGGGCGTCTTGGGGGCCTCCGGGCGGTTCTTAAGGGCCTCTTGGGGCGCCTTGGAAACCTCTTGGGCACTCTTGGGGGCCCTTTTGGCGGTCTTCAAAGCCTCTTGGGGCGTCTTGGGTGCCTCTTGTGGGCCTCTTGGAAGCCTCTTTGGGGTCCGCTTGAGGGCATCTCCTGGCCCTGTGGGGGGCCTCTGGGAGGGCCTTTCAGGCCCAGTTGGGGCCCTGTTGGGGGCCTGTTGAACGGTTGTCTTGGAGCTATCTTGGGTACCTCTTGGGTCATCTTGGGCGGTCGCAGACCCAAGCAGGCGGGAACAGCAGAACCATAAAACACAACCGAATGGATATCGATTGTATTTGCCTCCGCGGGCTCTCCTAGAGGATATCTTGCCGCACCCCTGGGCCGTCTTCGAGGGCTTGTGGGTTGGCTTGAGGCCGCCGTGCCTCTTGAGTGGTACTGTTGGGCCATGTTGGGGGATCTTGGTGTCAGCTTGACTGTCTTGGAAGCCTTTCGAACGGTACGTGCTTCGAGGGCGGGGTCGGCCCTAGAACGACTGAAGAAACCTTCTCGACAGCAGAGCACTAACACGCTCACTCTCTGCAGGCACGACGGCGGATCTGGGCGAATCCGGCTTGATGCCCCCCCTAGGCAGGCTCAAAAGCCCGTAATCTTGTTCACGAAGACGTCCTCAAAGTTGCCTCCTCAGGTCAGGGGGGCAACTGAGACAAGGGTTAAGTCGGGCCTGTCCCTCTACAGGGGGAATATTCAAAAATAGTCCAAAAAGAGTCTGGGGAGTATTTTTTGAGTAGTTTTTAAAACATTTTTTGTTTTAGTTTTTTCCGTATTTTTTGTCGTCGAAAATCCCCCTGTGGGGGGACAGGGCCGACTTTAAATTGGGACAAGGGAGAGACCCGGCCAGGAACAACTCGGCCAGGCGAGACCCGACCAGCTGAACTCGGCCAGGCTGAACTCGGCCGGGGCCGAGTTCAGGGAGGAGGAGGAGGAGGAGGAGGAGGAGGAGGAGGAGGGGAAGGAGGAGGAGGGGGAGCAGGAGGAGAAGGAGGAAGTTCATTCAGCCTGGCCGCGGCAAGCCCGCCGAGTTCTGCCCGGCCGAGCTTCGCCTGGCCGCATCTGACCCGGCCGAGTTTCGTTGCTGCCCTGGGGGGAGGACGGTTTCGGCCCCGGGCCAGCCACGCCGCGGAGAGGTGCGGCGGGGGGGGGGGGCAGGGGGGAATGCCTCTCAGAAGCACCCCTCTGCCTCTCAGAAGGCGACGGGCAGGGGGGATGCTCCTCAGAAGCACCCCTCTGCCTCTCAGAAGCACCCCTCTGCCTCTCAGAGGTGCGGCGGGGGGCAGGGGGAATGCCTCTCAGAAGCACCCCTTCTGCCTCTCAGAAGGCGGAGGGCCTTCTCTGTAGATGCAGGGCTGGCGCCTACTGAGAGGCAGCCGGACCAGAGAGGGCTCCGGCGGCCTGCCTGTCGGGAGCGACATGAGGACGTACGCGTGCATGAATCCACGCTGGTTTCGAGACTTCGCACTGCGCGACTGTTCGCATCACGCCGCCGGCCTCGCGTTTCAGGGGGCCGTGTTCATGTACATTTCAGGAGGGGGGAAAAAAAACCCAGACGCAATGACTCGTCGATTCCCCAGAGAGAATATGGGAAAATATAGGACTTGGGCGGGAAGGCAAAAAACCCAGCAAAATATATGACAATAGGGGCATCTTTTTATTTGTGTGTATTTATTTGTGTGTCTCAGGGCCCCTTCAACATAGCTGGGCGCGTACGTCCTCTGTGGGCTCCCTGTGCCTGTCGGCTCTATGGGAACCTGCAGGCTCCCCGGTGGGGCCGCTCGCGGCCATCGCATGCCGTGGGGTCTCTTCGGCGGCTGCCTCCCGGTGGGATCGGGCACGCGGCTGGGCGCGTGCGGCAAGGAGGAGGTCGGGCGCCAAAGATCGCAGAAGGCAAGACGCCATACGTCGCCATAGACAGGAGCTTCTTGGCGCGCCGCGCGGATCCAAGAAACCCGCGCGGAGCGCCCAAAGTTGATGTTCATGGCGTTATGTTTGCTTCTCAATGAATGGGGGGGCGATTCATGGGGGGGGAGAGGGAAACGTGCATCGTACCCCTTTTGGGCCCCAGGCCCTTTCAGGGCACAACAGGGGCACCTTTTTGCACCCCCATACCTGTGTCGCACTCCCATCAGTTCACGCCCGAGGAGGCGGATAGGGAGGGATGCCGAGATGAGGAGGATCCAAAAGGCGCAAGCATAGATTGAACCGCATGCGACATCGGCGTGGTCCATCGCGAAATCAGGCGGCACTGGCTCCATGTGTCCAGGGGTGCACGCCCGTCGTCGAAAGTAGGTATTTCAGGATGTCAAAATCCTACTATTGTAGTGGCCTTCGGCCAGTGCCGCCGATCCGGGTCGCTCGGTGTTATTCTCCAGACGCAGACATTATGGGCGCGCACTGAAACGCACAAATTTCTCGGGTCACCTTCGAAAGGGCGTAGGAATGCAGTTGGGTCAATAGAGCCATCTCGCAACAGTGGTTCTATCAACGGCGGGGTGCTTGCAGTGACCGTGGGGACGGGAAATAATAATGACATGAAAATTCCATACAGGATGCCGATCACTTTGGAAACTCACGATACGTCTTGCACGGAGTCTTGTTACGAAACATGTGGCCTGGACGATGTGGTGCGAGCGGTGGAGGCGAGCCTATCGGCGCAAGGACCGCCCTTTTGGGGCGTTTTTTGAGCCATCTTAGGAGCCTGTCAGGGCGTCGTGGGGGCTTCTTGGAGGCTTTCGGAGGCCCTCTTGGAGGCTCTTGGGGCCTCCTGGGGGCCTCGTGGGCTGGAAGGCTAGATTTTTTCCGCTTTTCGTCCCTCTTCTGGGTCCTCTTGGGGCCGTCTTGGGGGCCTGTTGGGCCGTCTTGGGCGGCTCTTGGGCCGCCTTGGGGCCCTCTTGGGCCGTCTTGGGACTGTCTGGGGGCCTCCTGGGCCGTCTTCGAGTGGTCGTGGGAGCCTCTTGGGCCGTCTTGGAGCGTCGGGAAGCAGAAAAAAGCGACAACCCCAAAAACATTGAAAAAACCAATGGGAATCAACGATTTTTGCCTCTGGGGGCCATCGTGGGAGGCCTCTTGGAGGCCTCTTCAGACGTCTTGGAAGGCTCTTTGGCCGTCTTGGGGCCATCTTGGGCGTGTTCGGGCGATCCTTCGGGGTCTCGGGACTTTCTTAGACCGTCCTCAGAGACTTTTGCGGCCGCTGCCACCCTTCCAGCGCATCCTCGAGATTAGAACCTTCTGTAAAAGCAGCGCCCCGCATCCGCCGGAAACTCGCACCCCCCCATCCCCCCTTCCCCGGCAGAGCCACCCCGGCAACCCCCCCAGAGGCTGAGACTCAGCCTCGAGGCTGTAGCTGAGACTCCTTGAAACTCACACGCCGGATCGGCGGATTTTTCTACCGCCTTCCTACTTCAAGAGTCGGCATGGTATTGATGTGTGTTGTTATTATTTGGGAGGGCCTGGACCCAATCTATTGGATCCGCCTTCCTACTTCATGTTTTTACATCCTTCTTCCGACCGACGTGTAAGGTCGGGAATTGTTGCTCAGCATTTTGCTCCGATCCTCGGGACGGCAGGCTGGGCAAGGCTCAGGACGTTGACGTCGAGTATCCTTCGTTATCTCGGGAGTCGTGTGTCCCTCTACAGGAGGGATATTCAAAAATAGTCAAAGCAATTGTCGGGGGACGATCTTGTGAGTACATTTGAGCATTTTTGGAATACGCTTTGAGTATTGCAATTGTTCGCCCGAGATCCTCCTGTAGGAGGACAGGCTCGACCTAACTCTGGGCTCACCGATCCCAGTATACTTCCGGCGCCTTCCTATCTCGAGAGTCGAACGGTGCTCCTTCTTTCGTTCCTCGAGGTGCGGGCGGAGTGCTGCTATACTTCCAACGCCGTCCTGCTTCACGTTTCTGCACACGTCCGGCCGATGGTGCATAGAAAACACGGCATGCCGCCCCCAGCGTGCCGCCCTTCGCCTACTGCGGCCCTGCGCTGCACCTCGGCTCCAGGCTCGCGGGGGCCCCGGCAGGAGGAGTGGAGGTCGGCCGGTGCGTCCTTGCGCCACTGTGGTGTCTCCTTCCTCGTCTTCTCCGATGCAGTCACAGCTCCTCCTCCCCCTCCTCCTCGCTCTCCCTCCTCCTCCCTCCTTTGTCCTCCTCTCAGCAGGCGCCCCGACCACCGCCCTCTGTCGTTCTTCAGACGCGGTCCACAGAGGCCCTTGGCTCGCCGGTTGGCGGAGGTGATATTGCGTACGCCACTTTGTTTTGTCCCATTCGGGAGGGCAGGAGGGAATGAAAGTCCGTGTGCGTGTTACTCGTTGGTCGTTGTCCGAAGGTCGTGTGCTTCTCCAGCTGCAGTTGATACGCTTCTTGTTGATTCCCTCCAATGCAGTCACAGGGGGTCGTTTGGGAATCGCTCCTCCTCCGCATCCTTCCTCCTTGCTCCTCCTCCCCCGCCGTCTCTTCCCTCTTCCTTTCTCCTCTCTTCTCCTCAACCTGGTCCCTCCTACTCTTCTCCCTCATGGGTGACTTCCTGGTTGCACTGTAGCTGTTCTTACTTTCCGCCCCTCTCTTTCTCCCCATGTCTGCCTGCCACCCGCCCGTTGTTTCATGCGCGTATGGGGGGTAGAGCACCCTTGGCCGCGCGGCTGTAGGCACCTTGGGCGCCAGGTGTCGAATGTTTGTTCCCTCCCGTGCGCGCTGCCCCTGTTGGACGTGGGGGGTCGTATCGCCCTGAACAGCTCATGGCCGCAGAGCCCTCCGCACTTTGGAGACGCCTGCCGCACCGTGGCTCCTGTGGCCCGACCCCTTCGCTTGTGGCCCGCTCGTGCCCCGTTGCGCAGGCCGCGCCCTGCCGCCGGTGCCCCGGGGCCCCGGCCCCGACGGCGGCCCCGCCGCGAGGCTCCCAAACTTCGCGTGCAGCGCCACGTCCTGGGTCGCTCCTCGGCCCCCGCCCGCTTCATACACGGTGCACGCCGCCCCCCTTGCGTGTGCTTCTCACGGTGCACTCGGCACTCTGCGTGCGGTTGCCCGTGGTTCGAGGCCCGCTCGCGGCCCGCCTCGCTGTGCCCCCACGGTGTGCCTGCTGCACCCCGACCTCGGTGGCCCGTGGCCCCCTCGTGGCCCAGTCCTCGACCTCCCGATGGTTCCGCACGGTGCACGCCGTGCCGTGCTTCCCGTGGCCCTTGCTTCCCTGGCGTGCCCCTCTTGATTGTGGTAGCAGGGCATCACTGTGATGCGTTTGGGGAGTTCTCGGTTACGACGGCAGGCTCGGACACGACAGCATGCACTTGGCACGCATTGGAGGAGGAGGAGGAGGAGGAGGATGGAGGATGGAGGATGGAGGAGGAGGAGGAGGAGGAGGAGGAGGAGGAGGAGGAGGAGGAGGAGGAGGAGGACGAGGAGGAGGAGGAGGGAGGAGGAGGAGGAGGAGGAGGAGGGGAGGAGGAGGAGGAGGAGGAGGAGGAGGAGGAGAGGAGGAGGAGGAGGAGGAGGCGGAGGAGGAGGAGGGGGGAGGGAGGAGGGAGGAGGAAGAGGAGGAAAAACACAAATCCTGGTTGTGGCACCACCGTCGCCCTCGGTGGCCTGTGACCCGCTCGCGCGCCCTCGCCCCCCCCCTGGGCAGGGCGCCTGCCCGCGCCCTGTCCCCGAAGGCCCGTGGCCCCGCATTCTCGGCCACCTCGCCTGCCCACCGCCCTGCGCCCCCGGCGGCGCACGGCCCGTGGGCCTCCGGCGTGGCCCGCGGTGCGCGCCTGCCTCCGCGCAGCACGCGTGGGCCTGTTTTTTTTTTTGTTTGTTTTTTTTGTTGTTTTTTTTATATTTGCATGGGCCATGCAAGTAGAACAATAAACATGGCGTCCGCTCGTGGACATGTCGCGGGAGCTCGTGGACATGTCGCGGACGCCATGCAGCACGGCGTCCGCTCGTGGACATGTCGCGGGGGCTCCCCGGCCACCACCGTGTCAATGCTGAGCTGCATTGTCAGTGCCTCGCTCTCCTGGGGCTTTGCTGAGTTCCTGCTCGTGCACATCTGTCGCGTGTGCGGAGCTGCACCGTCAATGCCGCGCTTTCCTGAGGCTTTGCTGGGTTTCTGCTCGCAGCGCACACCGCCAGAGGCGTCGGAGAGCTTGAGAGATCCGCCTGCCAAAAAAAACCTCCCCCCCACCCCCACCCCCCACACCCTCCACACCCTCCACCCTCGCCCCTCTTCGAACGAATGCCAGCGTGCAGGTGCCCTGCGACTTGAGTGAGTATTCCGCCGGTGCAGGTCGTTTGCGGCTTGCTTCAGGTTCGGCCCCCCCCCCTCCGTCCATGCAAGTGAGCGTGCCGGAGTCAGCACGAAGACAGGCTCTGTGTCCAAAAGGCTCCAGACTGAGCCTTGCCGGGGTCGGGCGCTCGTGGCCGCGCGCGGGCGCTCGTGGCCGAGGGGCGGCGAGAGGATGCCCTGCCCCGCCTGGCCCACGGTGGCCCGCTGCCCTTGGATCCCGTGCTGTGTGCGCAGAGGCCCACAGCCTCCTCGTGGCCCCTCCTGAAGGCTCGCTTCGATTCCTCCGGTTCGATTCGATTCGACGTCGATGGATTCTGATGCCGATTCGATTCGGCTTCGGGTTCCGATTTGGACTCTCCGACTTCTCAATGAGGCCCCACTGCTCTGCCGATTCCCGCCGACTCGACTCCTCTCGACGTGCCTGTCGATTTCCGCCGAATCCCGATGCATCCCGATCGCCGACTCGACTCCTCGATCCGAGCCTGCGCTCTCGGCCGCGCGCGGGCGCGCGGGCCCCATGGGGCAGCGCAGCGAGGCCCTGCCCCACGGTGGCCCACGCTGGCCCACGGTGGCCCACGGTGCCCGCGCTGTGTGCTCAGAGGCCCACGGCCCCCTCGCGCCTCCTCCTCCTCCTCCTCCTCCTCCTCCTCCTCTCCTCCTCCTCCTCCTCCTCCTCCTCCTCCTCCCTCCTCCCTCCTCCTCCTCCTCCTCCTCCTAGGCGTTGTGGTCCGAGGCGCCCCCTTTCGGGACAGCCCGACATTGACCGCGACCCCAGCCCTCTGGGCGACTCTCCCCACCACGGGCGCGCGATCACCCTCGCCCGCGTGGCACAGGGCCCAGCGGCGCCAGCGCGCCGAGGCCAGACGCAGACTGCGCCACCGCAGGGACCTTGAGCTGATCGAGAGCCATCACGGTTCGGCGGTTCCCATGGGCAGTGATGACCGAACGTGGCTTTGCAGATTCTGCGTGCACGCAGCCAGTGGGGAACGTTTCTTCAACAAATCGGCGAGGCAGAGTTGCTGGCAATGCAAGCGGCCCAAGTCGGCGTGCTTCCACAGTTACAAGCCTCCGCCATCACCATCCGTACGAAAGACCTCTGCACCACGAGCTGCCGACAAAGAGGACACACCTTGGGCCATGGCTGCAAAGCTGCGAGAGGCGCAGAAGCAGATCAAGAGGCTCGAGCAGGACATGCAGAAGCAGCGCAAGCAGCAGGAGTTGCAGCCCGAGAAGGTGCAGCAGGTGGTCGATCTCTCAGATGAACAGGGTGACTGTCCTGATATGCTGGTTGATGATGGTAAGAACTTTGATGAAGGACAGGCCCGAGCCAGAATTCACGAGCTGGAGAAGCAGCTGGACATGGCCAAGGGAGTTGGAGAACACTGGGATGTGCTGCGGACGGCCATTCGCACTGAGAAGGATGAGCTCCAGCAGCGTGTGCATGCTCACAAGCCCGCCTCGGCCCAGATGTTTCACATCAACCGCCAGCTGTTCCAGGAGTCACAGCGAATCTCCAAGGCGAAGCTGGCGATACACAAGCAGGAACAGCACATTCAGGAGCTTCAGAAGCAGTTGCAGAGTGCACAAAAGGATCTGGCGGAAAGGGAGGCGAAGCATGAAGAGCTCCGACTACGGCAACTGGAGTTGGCCCAGGCCGCAGTGCAGCCACCAGACGGAGCGGCTCGAGCGCACCCGCAGGATGCGCCCATCACCGCGCTGGGATTGGACTGCACGGCCCTCGGGCGAATCCTCAAGCAGTTGGGGGCAGGCGAAGCAGCCGAACCCATGGCCGAGGAGATCGCCAAGCAGCTACCGACTTTGGTCACAGGAGCGACCATGGCGGTGTTGGGCTCTACGACTGGAGGGCAAGCTCTGCTCCCAGGAGCGCTACATGGTGGACCTGGTGCAGGTGGTGTGCATGTTCCTGTACCTGAGGAACCAGCTCCTGCCACGACGTCTATCCGTGAAGCAGATGCTGCGGTGCTACGTGAACATCTCAACGCAGTGGGCGTTCCGATCAGTGACACGGCGACTGATGATGAAGTGCGGCAGGCGGCCAACAAGTTGTTCACATGGAGTTCGGCGCCGATGCGTCAAGTATTTACACCGTTTTGAGTCAATGGCTGTCGTTGGGATGGTTTGTCTATACCTGCAGATGGCGATGGCTTCAACGACTCCAGGGAGCAGGTGTACAGAAGGTGCTCCCGACAGGTTGCAGGTTCCAGGACTGGCGAGTGTGGCGCTTGACGCTAACCCAGTCTTGAAGCCTGTGAGTGGCAATGTGCAAGGTGCTGACGTTATGGCGGGCTCGCCACATGTACTACGAGGTGCTGGTTCGATGAATGGCGCCGACGCTTCGGCGTGCTCGCCACAAGGACAGCATCGAGATGAACGTTTTCACTCGCATGAGCTGGTGTCTCGACATGGAGATGCGTTGCAGCATGCTAAGATTCCCTCAACCCCACCTTCTTCTGGATTCACCTCAAAGAAATACGGCGGTCAAGAACGCGACGATGGTGGAGATCTGACTGTAAAAGGTGCGGTCACCACTATCAACGTTGACAACACGGGACCCCTGCTCAGGTACATGGAGCAGTGCAAGTCAGCGGTGGTTCTCGTGCAGGAGCATAAGGCGGACGATGCTGCACTCCCTGGGCTCGAGAGAAGATTGCGACAGTATGGATATCATGGCATCTTCGCGCCCGCTGTTCGAACGGAGTTGGATGGCATATCATCGGGAGTG